TTAACTTAAAGTACCACTACGTATTGAAAGGAAATCGACGTCAGGTAAATTCTTCAGGAAACAACACGAAAATCTTTCAATATATCGAAAATTCAGTATTTGAATACACTTCAAAACATATTGGCAGCCTCTCTCCTGCTATCTAAATCCGACATCCTTGAAGGGAGATCTGTTTACTCGCTACAAACCAACCAACCAACCAAACAAACAAACAAACAACCAAACAAAAACTGCTACCCCCGACCAAAATTGCTGCTGATATGTCTACCCTTGTGGACATTTCAATAGCAAGATTTACACCTGAAAGCTTTAATGGTTTCCGATACTAAACCTGAACTTGTATTAAATTACTAGTATATATATATATAAATATGATAAAATTATATAAATATATATATATATATATATATATATATATATATATATGATAAAATTATATATATATATATATGTGTGATCAAATTCACCGAATACAAGGCTCAAGAGCCACTCGTGGTAGAAGATTACTGAATGCGGTATTTTAAAATAATGTAAGAGGATATAGAAGGAAGTGAAGATTATATTGATAAGATGGATAGCAAGCGATTGACATAGTTTGTCCCCAAACAGATATAATAATATTAGTGTCATGGGTCCTTACCTATAACTACAGAATAAACTCTTCCTAACACTATGTATACTACGCCTCTCAAGAGAGAGGGACGAATCGAGTCGAGCCGATAGTTGTTCACTCCAAACCAGACTGACAGTCATACTAACACCTTCCACATCTTGTAATATTATTTCGTGAAATATACCTTCGTTATTTCTACTCTTGTGTTCGTGTTGTTCTTCCTTGGTCCTAACCTGGACCATAACAATTAGTAATACAATTCAGATGTAGATAGCTTTAGACGGATCCTTGAAATAAGCTGCTAAATAAAGGTCAATTAAAAATGAAAAAAAAACAAATTTGCTATTGTCTACTGTATAATAATAATAATAATAATAATAATAATAATAATCTCACGAATACAGTTCACACCTTACCAAGGGCTTTGTCTATATAAAATGTTTTTTTTTGTCAGTGGAAAATGTCATGATGCTATCTCTAACTTTAGGTCCATGGGCGGGACCCGGAAAGAACTGTGTACACACCAGAAATCAAAGGAAATAAAATAATAATAATAATAATAATAATAATAGTATTGGAGCCCACGGATTGGTTGGAAAAGATCCCAGTAGACTAATTGAAGGGATTCCTGGAAGCCGATGCCTTAAAGAAATACAAAAAATTGTTCTCATGAGTACAGTCTACACCTTACGAAGGGCTATACAATTTTTTTTTTTCTAGTGGAAAATGTCATGATGCCATCTCTAACCTTAGGTCCCTGGACGGGACCCGGAAAGAAATGTGTACATCCTAGAAATCAAAGGAAATAAAATAATAATGATAATAATAATAAAAAAAACTCAGATTATGTGATAAATATCCAGAAACAATTGACCATCTTGTGTCAAGTTGCACGGTATTGGCACCAGCTGAAAATAAAACACGACATGACAGAGTATCTGCACTGGAAAATTAGCAACTTTTACGGAAAGGGAACTGCAAGAGATTTGTATGGACACCACCGAAACCCGGTTACAGTCATGGGACCTGTAACAATTTTACGGGACTTTACGATACACACAGATAGAAGAATCAGTGCTTATCGCCCAGGCATCGTGATTAGAATCCACAAAAACAGAATATGACTTATTATTGACATGTCATTCCCCGCAGAGTCTAATACATTTTTGTAAGTTCTTTAAAAAACTATCAAAATAAAAGAACCTTGAAATCGAAATCTCAAAAATGTGACACATGAGGCATCAGCAACTCCAGAAGACCCCGGATTGGTAGGAAAAGTTTGCAATAGATTCATTTAAGGGGTTCCTTGTAGCACATGACTTAAAAAAATGTATTCACAAGTATAGCCCACACCTTTTGGATGGGGGTTTCTCGCATCTGTTGTATTACTGAAGAGATCTGGTTTTCGGCTAGTTGTTTGTCACGATTAGGGTTGTGGAGAAAGCTTTTTGCATAAACTATATTCATTGCGTAGGCCTAAATTCCTTAAACCTAGAATGTGTGAATTTATTTCAAAAATGTATTTTAACTCGCGCTTTCGGCATTCATGGTGGCATTTAAATGAAAACGAACTCAATTATGACGTTTACAGAAGGCTAGAAACAAAAATGATCTGATCAGTTCCTACTCAAACCACTCTTCTAAAATTAAAGCTGGTATTATTACAGGTTTCTATCTGAGAGCGTTAAGAATTTGCATTCTCCAATATTGACTTAACGAAGAAACATACATAGAAAACACTTTAAAAAACCTACAATACCCATATCATTTCATCCACAACGCAAGAAGAAAGTCATACAAAATATACAAACGAAACAAAAATAACATAATCCGCAATAATAAATTACATGAAAACAGATACATAATACTACCGACCAATTCTGTCACGCCCACTATCCAGAATAACCTACCCCATCTAAATAATCTTAAAATAGTCACAAACACTTCCAAAACCATTATGGATATACTAAGATCTTCAAACACTAATAGCAATAATATTTCTGAAGCAGGCATTTATAAAATAAATTGCCAAAACTGTTCCTCCCAATATATTGGAGAAACAAGTAGAAGTTTGAAAAAACGCATTTATGAGCACAAAAGAGACCTCACAAAAAACAACTTAGCTAATGCACTAGTCATACATAGAAATAAATTCAACCATAATTTTGATTTTAAAAATGCTACACTAATAAAAATAGAAAATAACTCACTCATGCCGCCATTGAATATTATCCAAATATTAATCTACGCCCCGGCTTTTTCCTTATTTCACCTTTCCTAACACAATTACTACTCTCCCAAGCAAACGTACACAACAGTATCAAGAAATCAAAAGAAAATGGTTGAATCCGTCAACACAACAATAAAAACAATATTTCTACACGTGACAGTACTTGACGTAATTTTCAGTTGACAATATGAATATAATAGCATTTTCTAAATTCTTCCAGAACATTTTGTTTTGTTATTAATAGTTACTTTGTTTTAATAAATTCATTTCATTTTTGCCTTGAAAAAGTCCACATTGGACGAAACGCATCGGCTAATATTGCAGTTTTCCTATTGTCTTTTATATATATATATATATATATATATATATATATATATATATATATATATATATATATATGTGTGTGTGTGTGTGTGTGTGTGTGTGTGTGTGTATAATAGTTTAGTAATTTAACACATGTTAATAGATGTTTGTATTAAAAAAAGATTGAAGTAGTTTCCTGAAGACACATTTCATCAAAATGAAACAAACTATCCCCCTTTGTAAATTTACTTCGTTAGAGACAGTGGAAACTTGGCGGTTAGGTGATTTTTTTATGGTCAATCCTGTCGAACTTCCGCATAATAATTTCTTTATAAGCATTTCATATCTATACTGGCGAAAAATAAGTTTAAGACCGATAGTTAAAGTTTTATTCATTTCAGAATATGTTTCTAATAAAACAATAGGAATTAGTTTTATTTTGTACGCTTTATGTAGAATTCTATATTTTTCTACAACTTGAAAATTGTTTATGTTGGATTAATCTAAATTATCAAAATTTGCTGGCAAAATACGTTTAAGTCCGCATGGGTATTAGGCAAATTATTTGCTAAGTGTCTGGTCACATGGCTGGTCATTAATGCATTATATAGTGTAATAACTGAGCATTATTATTCATTTAATTCGTCATGGGAAAACATCCTCGTCTGAATCCAGTGACCAAAATTAGCGTTACATAAGCAAGCAATTAAAGTGCAGCAAAACGACTTGTGTTCAGACATGGAAGCTTTACCAGGATACTGGACAATATAAGGATAGGCAAAGATCAGGAGCCCCAAGAAAAACAACGGTGCAACTGGACAGACGAATTCATAGGCTTTCCAAAGCTAAGCGAATGTTGACGGCCATGGACATTTGCAGCCAATTATCTGGTATAACTGGTGTTAGTTTTACGTCGCAAACTGTCTAAAACCTTCTGAGAGAATTTGGATTATTCGGGTGCATTGCTAGACAAAAGGCGATTATTTCGGAGAGGAATCGACTCAAGCGGCTGAATTTTGCGAAAAGTTACATTCAATGGACGGCCGACGATTGGTGTAGAGTTCTTTGGAGTGACGAGTCACGCTTTTGCATCTTTCAGTCCGATGGAAAAAAAACCTTTGTCAGACGCTGCCCAACTGAGGGATTCCATCCTAAATGTGTCAAAAAGACAGCACAAGCAGGAGTCAGGGGTGTAATGGTGTGGGGTGCGTCTAGTAGTTTTGGTATTGGTCCAATTGTTAAAGTTGATGGAAAACGCAACAGTGTAGGCTATATAAAGCTAGTTAGAGAAGATGTTCTGCCATATTTGACTGACCAAATGCCTCCTGGAGCTATTTATCAACAAGATAATAGCCCCATTCACAAAGCCAAAGGTAATGCAATTTTTTGATCAATAATGGAGGTCATTGAGTGGCCTCCGCAGAGCCCGGATCTTAATTCGATTGAAAATTTATGGAATTATATTTCTAAAAGAGTTCACGCTAAAAAAAAAACATCAAATTTAGCCGAGTTATACGATTATATTAAGGAAATATGGCAGAACATTCCAAATGATTTTTGTACTCACTTATCAAGCTCGATGCCTAGGCGATGTGAAGCTGTAATTAATAAGAAAGTTTATAGCAATAAAAAAAAAAACAAACAAAATATTTTGTTTTTTTTTGCTCATAATTTTTACTATAACTTTTTGCTTTAAATATAATAATACCCATGCGGCCTTAAACTTATTTTACCAGCAAATTTGGATAGTTTGAATTAATCCAACATTAAAATTTTTCAAGTTGTAGAAGTAAATTCTACATAAAGCGTACACAATGAAACTAATTTCTATTGTTTTATTAAACATATTCTGAAATGAATAAAAGTTTAACCATCGGACTTAAACTTATATTCCCCAGCCTATCTATCTATCTATCTATCTATCTATCTATCTATCTATCTATCTATCTATCTATCACGATCCATACATTATCTATCTATCTATCTATGGGGTAATTTGCCGTAGTTTTTACATAAATGTGGAACTTACGTAACAACCACCACAAATGACACCCAACGTTTTAACATCTGTGTAACTGAATGTAAAGCCTTAGGAGGGCTAAAAAGCCACATCCGTGCTGCTCATATTTGAGGAGGGATGAAATGGTGGCATTGCTCGAAATGCAATAGCATCTATCTATCTATCTATCTATCTATCTATCTATCTATCTATCTATCTATCTATCTATGTCCATTTCTATCTATCTATATCAGCCGGTTCATTTCTATCTATCTAGCTATCTATGTCCATTTCTATCTATCTATATCAGCCGGTTCATTTCATTCTATCTATCTATCTCTCTATGTCTGTCCATTTCTATCTATCTATATCAGCCGGTTCATTTCTATCTATCTATCTATCTATCTATCTATCTATCTATCTATCTATCTATCTATCTATCTATGTCTGTCCATTTCTATCTATCTATATCAGCCGGTTCATTTCTATCTATCTATCTATCTATCTATCTATCTATCTATCTATCTATCTATCTATGTCTGTCCATTTCTATCTATCTATATCAGCCGGTTCATTTCTTTCTTTCTTTCTATCTATCTATCTATCTATCTATCTATGTCTGTCCATTTCTATCTATCTATATCAGCCGGTTCATTTCTTTCTTTCTATCTATCTATCTATCTATCTATCTATCTATCTATCTATCTATCTATCTATCTGTCCATTTCTATCTATCTATATCAGCCGGTTCATTTCTTTCTTTCTATCTATCTATCTATCTATCTATCTATCTATCTATCTATCTATCTATCTATGCCTGTCCATTTCTATCTATCTATATCAGCCTGTTCATTTCTTTCTTTCTTTCTTTCTTTCTTTCTTTCTTTCTTTCTATCGTATGTATGTATGTATGTATGTATGTATGTATGTATGTATGTATGTATGTAATATAAGCCTTTATTTGTCGCGTTGATTTTCTAACCAGTTGTCCACTTTCTCCAAAAGAATCAATTTTGCTACCAGTGGACATCCATACAAACATACTTGTCCTTTATTTGAATGTCAGATACTAAAATCGGTTGTTTTGGCTGATCATGAAAGTACACAAATCAATAAGTTTTATAATTCGCCTATTGGGAGTAGTAAAATCCTTTTTCATTATTTTTTTTATTCCTTTGTATTTCTCCACTTAATTTAAAACTCTCTTTTCTTTTCAGAAAAATAATAACGGAATCAATCGCTATATATAAAAAGCGAGTAGAAATGTGAGATAATGGACCAATTTTCATTATCCATGAAATAGAAAACTACTACGGAAATGGGAAATGGGTTCAAATCTTACCGGAAGCAAAAATTTTATTCTAAATCACCGTCTGATATACTAGATTATTGCAAAAGTTGTGTCCGATTTAGAGAATTAAAAACAAAATTTTACATAGTCCCCCCAAAACATTTAATAGCCAAATACACAGTCTACATTGTTTTTAATAACTGTCTCTCATCGTTGACGATATTCAGTCACCCCCACCCCCACGAGGGCGTCATGTGGCACAAGGCCTTTTTAACGTGGGAACTCCGAGCCCGTGGACTCGGCCAAATGTATGCCCATTGAACCGGTATAAACGGGTTCAGGGTCGGTTTACCTCCCCGAAAGAGAATCCGCCCTTCGGCGTAGCCTCGTTCGGGTTCCTCCCCGCCCGAAGGCAGAGAGTTCAACCGATCAGCCGGTGTTTGCTGGACTCATCGTTGACATTTTCGTAGGAAATTCTAGTTTTTTGTTAGAAGCTGGTTGTGCGTTTGCTTTCGACTGAGGGGAAGTGAGTATTATTGACATATTGAAGTGATTTGCACACCGTGTGCCAAATTATTATCGAGATAGCTTTTTTCTAATATTTCAAAAACCGTCCAATCAATTCATACAGAATTTTCACACAATATTGGCAACACTGACCTGCGCAATCACTGAAACAAACTGGCGCGATATTTGTTATCAGCACGATGATTTGAGCGTGCCAAATTATTAAAAAAGTGTAAGAATTTATTGAAAAGATGGGCCGTAAAAGCAGTTTAAGTGATGCTGAAAAGAAAACTATCACCTCAGAACTCTCAAAAGGTAAATCTACCCTAGAAATTTCTAAAATGATAGAGAGGTGTCATCAAATAGTGAAAAAGTTCACCGTCGACCCTACACAAGTACGCAAAAGGGCAGATAAAGGCAAGCCGAGGGTTATTTCACGTCGTCTCATGTCACGGCTTAAACGAGAGGCCATGAATAACCCTGGACTTACCAGTCAAGAGCTTTTCAGTCGCATTGGGGATCCTACTGTGTCTAAAAGTACTCAATGTTGGTATCTGAGGGAAATACCAATAACAGTCAAACCTTTATCGAAGCCTCCGTTGACGAGAAATCACATTCAAAATTGATTGAAATGGGTCGAGAACAATATGATGATTGACTTCTCTAAAGTTTTGTTCACAGACGAAATTCTAGCAACACTTGATGGGCCAGATAGATGGTGCAAAGGCTGGATAATTAACGAACAGAATCGCCATCATCGTTTGAGACGCCAATAAGGCAGTGGAGGCATAATGATCTGGGGTGGTATCATTGGAAAAAACATTTGGCTCATGGAGAGTACCAGATGGTGTCAAAATGAATGCTGATGCGTACATAGCGTTTATGAAGGAGCATCTTGAACCGTGGATGAAAAGGTAAAGAGTTGTCTTCAGAAGGGCCATTGTTTTTATGCAAGATAATGCTCCCTCACATGCTGCTCACAAGACTACTGAATATTTAAAACAGTTAGGCTTCGATGGACCTCGAAAAATGAAGTGGCCAGCAAATTCTCCGGATTTGAACCCAATCGAAAACCTTTGGAGCATCATGAAGCGAAGACTGTACGTCAACGGACGACAATTCAGGAGCAACGATGTGTTGTGGGAAGCAATTCTTGACATATCTCGCGGCATTACAACAGATAACATCCTACAATTAACAAATTCTATGGATCGTCGACTTCTTCAGGTAATTTCAAAATAAGGAAACCACATTCCCTATTAATTTGTTTAAAACTGTGCCTTTGTTTGTATCTGTTATTATTTGTTTGATTATCTTATTTATTAGCTTCTTTTGATCATAAACATTCACGTGCAACATTAATAAACGTTTCGTTTGCTCGATTCTGGGAATTTTACCAAACCTTTTTAATAATTTGGCACGCTCAAATCAGCGTGCTGATAACAAATATGGCGCAAGTTTGTTTACATTGCGCAGATCAGTACGAAAATGTGTTGCCAACATTGTGTGAAAATTTTGAGTGAATTGATTTTTGAAATATTCGAAAAAAAGTTATCTCGATAATAATTTGGCACGCAGTGTATATGTATATACATTACCGGAAAAAGTTTGGAGCCGCCATGCATTTCTTCAAAAAACACCATAAAGTAATATATTTTTTGTATTTTTTGGAAGTAAGAAGAGAATGCAAGTAAGATGAAAACCAGAAGAAAAACTAAATGATCAATGCGTAGTTCTACCAAATTAAGAATGGCGGTATGCCTGTGCCTGTTATTGTATAGGGATATTTTGTGGTTTGATTCAGATCAAGAGATTCATAAAAAAAAACCCCAATGCTTTTCGATTTTGCAAAGCCAGGCTACACCATCGGGTTAACGCATATTTAGAAAACAATCACCTTTCAATAAGACAACAGTCGAAAACACTCTTCTGAATTATGTCAAAATTTCATTGAGTCCCCCCCCCCCAAAAAAAAGGAACAACATTTTGAAAATCATAACTTGGCCGCCTCAATCTCATAACTGCTCTCATTGAATTAATATGGGATGACTTGGATAGGAGAGGTTGAAGAGAATACCCAAATATTGAGTAAGCTTTTTCAATGCTTGGGGGTCTGGCAATAATTTGTAAAGCAATAGTTAAGGCAGGTTTTGCCTCTATTAACGAAAAGAAAATACGATACTGTTGTATGATATTCTTTATAGTTAACTGCTTATCTTTTGGTCAAAATAAACAAAGATACTGTAGTTACTATCATTTTATCTTTTGCTTTATAAAAATACAAAAATATCTCATTTTCAGGTGTTTTCTTGTAAAGAAATATATATGTCAAAGTCTAAAAAGTTTTTTTGTGACGCGTTTCGTTCTTTAGGATATCATTGAACTAAATTTGTTATGACAAAATTTAGTCCGATTTTTCCTCAATATTGTTACTGATATATAAAAATATATATCTGTTTGTAGCATACTTACATACGATAATGGGTATGTCCCCATTCACATAAATATAGTAGTAAATACTGTATGTTGGTCTGTATTTGGAAATTCGTCTCCAGTTGTGCTGCTCAACTTCTTTGACCCCTGAGAGAGAGGGTCCCCAGACGAGGCTATGTCCATGGGCAGAATCTCGTCTCGGGAAACAGCTACCCCACCCTGTTTTATACGGGGTCTACGGGGAATTTTTGACCGACCCTACGGACTCGGATACCCCACATTAACTTCGGCCTTGTGCCACATCTGACCGCGTGGGGAGATTGGTAGATATCCTGCAGTTGAAGATTCATTGTGGAATTCACTTGAGACACTTCTAGCAGTTAACTATTTCTTCTACGCGTCACTGGCGCATCTTATATGTGTTGTTCGTGTCCTAAGTATTATCATTCATTACCAACCTTCGTTTGATTATTCTATTCAGTAACCTTCCTTAGGTTGCAACAATATCGTTATCTCAAAAGAAATATAGAGAGCGCTCATACATTTTGTCTGTAGTATATACAGCCACGGGTAAAATGTTCGCCATTTCCTTATGAAGTTTGTGGGTATATTCCTTTAATTATATCATTTGACGGAATATGATCATCCTTTGATCATATCATCCATGGCTCTCTATGGTCATCCCACGGTTGTATACGATTCAAATTATACGCATCCCCACCAATCAAGAAAAATGATAGGTGAGAATCCATGACTCCTGCAAAACTAAGTTTGCACAATCCGGTAAACTCAGATAGCACTAATAAAATTTTAACGACATCAAACAGATGCCCTATATATAATGATGTGTCAAAAGTCATCCGATAGATACCTAGTATAGTGTATGACAACTTGTTATCCATTGACGTGCAGAAATTCCTCGGAAAATATATTGTACCATGCCATTTCGATAGCTGTCTACATCTTTCTGATATTCGATAAGCCTTAACCTTTGCAGGATAAGTAAATATTCTGCTAAAGCTCATATGTTGGCCATAGCATTTGTCGGAAATCTCCAGACAGCACCGCAAACTAATTCTTGGCAACTTGGAGCCGATGGCAGGCTGCACTATCCTGTTTGAATAATCTATCATATTTTGGTGTATATAGTCAAATGGTCACGTTGCGATTACAAGTCAAAGAGTTCCTTTGGCGGCTCTGCGGAACCAAACCATGCCACCCGAGTAAAGCTCAATACCATTATGGAACTAAACTCCATGGCCTCACCACCACACCAGAGGCCTACCATTAGCACCCTACTGTTTCTTTTTTTTTGCATCCTCTTCGTGGGCGATCGTAGCTCTCCGCTACGTTCTATTCTTTGTAGCTTTTAACAATGTTTGTCTTTTTTACTATCCCGTTCAATGACTCTCATGCCATTCATTTGCATAAACTACTTAGGTAGGTCACTCGCTGCTTTTCTCTGTCTCTTTTGCTTTCGATATGCCCTGTGAGTGTCAAATTCTCCAAGTCTTCTTTCCTCATATTGTTTTAACTTTCCTTCGAAACCTTCTCGCAGTTACATGCCTCCTGTATGATATTCTCAGCATCCTTCTGTAGAACCATATATCTGTTAACTCTATGGCGTTTAAAGAACGAGCGAGTTTAAAGAAAAACTGTAAGCAA